GGGGGGCTCTCCCCGCTCGCCGGCGTTTAACGGGTCCGTCGGCCTCTTCCGCAGGACTTGGACGTGGAAGGCGACGGCACGCAGGGCCCGCCGTCCCCCCTGCAGTTCGACACGGCGCTGGCCCTGGAGGACCACACCATTCGGGCCATCGCCGAGGCGCCCATGGACCTGCTGACCGCCGACGACCCGGATCAGGCGGACCCGGACGCGTCGGGACAGGACGTCGACGTCGCGAGCGAGCAGGTTCGTTTTGGGTCGCTCGCCGCGGCCGGGCGCCGAGCCGCTTCGCTGTCGGTGACTCCGCCGTGTCGTTCCCGCAGGCGGCGCCTGCGGAGGCGCGGGCCAAAGACGACGCTCCCAGATGAAGGAAAGCCACCCCTCGCTTTTCCTCTCTGCGCAGACGGCGACCCGACTCGACACATTTCGCCGACTGCTCTTTGATCGGTCCCGTCCACTCGCGTTCAACGTCGCCCCGCGTCGGCCTGCGTGGAGTGCAAAATGTTGATTGGCGTTTGCCGCCACGGGGAGCCAACCCTGCGGCGGAGCGCTCCCCGTCGTCGTCGCCGAGTCGGTAAACATAGAGCTGATGTGCCGCTTTCCTTGCCGACGGGCCTTTTAGGGTGTGGAACCGCAACTGAGTTTCCGGCAGACGGTGAGGAGGTCCAGGGATTTGAACCCCGTGTCTGATCTTCTCGCTGGGCTGCCGCTCTTCCACATCTTTAGAATTGATTTTTCCCTCAATAATCTGGGGGGGGGGGGTTGGATTAAAGTTGAGTGCAAAACATTCTTCCGCATGACTCTGATGATTGTTGGCATTTTTTGAATGGTGAAGCCGAAGCCTCCACGGCAACACTTGGTGGGCGCAACATCACGCAAAGGCGACCGATGCGTTTGCCTATTCGTTCGGAAGGCCGGCGACCGATTCATGCCAATTGGGAAAGGACGACTTGTTTGCACTCCGGCGCTTGCGAGGATGCTTCGGGTGCGAGACAGCCTGTCGATGAACAGAGTGACGGCTTTTTTTTCGCTTTTTCCATAAACAGATGATGCTCCAGTTACCGGTTCGGTCCATAACACGTCAGACAATCGGCAAAAGCATTCCCCAAAGTAAAAGCGGATGTTTACACCACGCGAACTTTTTTTACACAAAGATCATCGGCCGGCTCTGATGGACGACAACAGAAAAGCGGTCGGATGTGTCGCCAAGAGGCTGAAATCGCGAGGCCGCGGATCACCACGCGACGAATGTCTCCGGTGTCGGCAAGGACCCAAATAGTTGACAGTTGCCAAGTTGATGAGGAATGACGAAATCGCGAACCTTCTGCTCGAGAACCGCGAACACGCGGGGCAGTGTGGACGACGTCTCACCGGACATGTTTTTTTTTTTTGTTTCGGTCGGTAATTTGACCAGTGTGAATTGTCTGCAAATAAATGGAAAGATTTGGGAGTCGGGTTGGCAGTTGTTATTGCATTCGAATGAAATAAAAGCTTGTCATCCTCGACCGATCTTTTTTTCCCCTAAATGTGGTGGCGCCTGTATGTGGAAGTGGCCAAGTCCCAAACGAGAGAGTCCGCAATAAAAAGGGGACACGAAAAAGATGATGAAATCTCGTCAAGGCTTTGGCACGAGAATGTGCTGGAGTTGGATTTGGCAGCAAAACGACGGCGTGTGTGTGTGTGTGTGGGGGGGGGGGGCGGATTCATGCGATGACATCACTTTTCCTCAACCCAAACACGCCACAGAGGAGCGACGACGACGACGAGGAAGAGGAGGAGAAATGAGCCCGGCGGCGACGGCGACGGCGGCGGCAGGAGCTTCTCCATTTCAGCCCCATCGGCGTCGACGAACCTCGCAAGAAAATGAGGTAAGCGCCTTTGTCCCCGTGTCGTTTTCGGAGCCGCGGACGAAGAACTGGTGATGGCGGACTTGCTTCTGAGCTCCGGCGAAAGCTTGGCCTGCACGCAGAGCAAGGGCGGTCAAGTTCGGGAACGGGGACGGGAACGGGAGGGCCTGCCCGCCCGCCCGCCCGTCGGAGCACCCGGCCCGGCGTTGTGGACCTCGGGCCCCACGATAGCCCCTCTCTTTTCTTTTTTCTTGGGCGGCCGCTTGCCACACGTCGTGGTGAACCGTCAGCTGACTGAAGCAGAAAGCCCCAAGTTGCCCCTGACTTGGAATCTGCCGCCCATTGGACACATTGAAAAGCCTCACCAATGTCCCTTTGGATGCTTCCAAAAAGCTTGCAAAAGGCCAGGGGGAGGCTGACAAACGGGCCTTTCCGAACACGATTCCTTTCAAAACGCACGTTACAGTTTCAAGCGTTAATGCTGATTTTTTTTCGTGGGGAGGGAGGGAGGGGGGGTTGTCTTTCTTGTCACGGTTAAGTTAGTTGTGCTGTAAATCGTTCCGCTGAGTTTATTGTTAGATTTTTTTATTTCCAATCCATTGTGCAACTGTAGGCGGTTAACGTTTCGACCCATCAAGTGTTTTTTTCATCAGGAGGAGATGGAGCAGGGCAAAAATGATCACAGGACAACACATCGGAAATGAAAGCACGCAAAGGTCACTTGACAAACATGTTCCCCAAATATTGCGTGCTGGGGCACCCCCCCCCCCCCCCAAAATGCGGCTTTGAAAACGCCCAACTA